AGAAATGCCAGATATAGGTGATGGGGGGATGGAGGCAGCAAACCACATTGCCATGTATGTACCTATGAAACAATCCTGCATGTTCTGCACATGTACTCCAGAACCTAAAGTGCAATAAAATATATATAAAAATAATAATATGGCAGGGTTTAGCCAAAAAATTGACAGCTCTGATTTTTACACTGTCTTGTCTTATGTATATCAGAAGTTCAGACAATGAAATTTTCATATTTTAAGGGATACGTAAACATTTACTTGGTATATTATTATTCATCATCTAGGATATGTAAACAGAAATATCAAAGTAAAATTAAAGTGTTATTTTAATTTATAATAGTTATTAGTAAGCCAAGCCTCTAGTTTCTAGCCTAGATGCATATCTTAGTTTATTGGTAACTTTAAATATTAGTAGCAAATCATTACTTTGCAAAAGTGGGTCACAAGCTACATGGTAACTCAAAAGAATATTGGGGAATGGATATTGACCAAGTATCATTTTTTTTAAACCATCATTAGAAAACCCTGTTGTATTTCAGGAAGAAAACTGCATTTTGCTGAATATATTAACAGATGCTTTCAACGATATCATTTACTTAAAACTTTGTGTTTCCAAATCAGATATGTAAATGTGATACTAATGAAAATTCTATTATACATTTATAAACTTGTAGTTCATTAAAACAAACTAAAATCTCAAAGATTTCTCCACTGTTATAAAATCCGAACTTCAGCATTACAAAGCCCTATGTGTTCTTATGACCTATTGGCTCTTGTGAACCCTTCTAGCCCCATCTCCCACCATTTTTGGCTGTCCTTTGTTATTTTCTAAATTTGCTAATTTTTTTTGTTTGTTTCTTTTGAGACAGGGTCTCACTCTGTCACCCAGGCTGGATTGGAGTGGTGTGATCTTGGTTCACTGCAGCCTCTGCCTCTTGGGCTCAAGCAATCCTCCCACCTCAGCCTCCAAAGTAGCTGAGACCACAGGTGTATGCCACCATGCTCAGCTAATTTTTTCATTATTTTTTTTGAGATGGAGTCTCACTCTGTCACCTAGCTTGAGTGCTGTAGCAAGATCTTGGCTCGCTGCAACCTCTGCCTCTTAGGTTCAAGCAATTCTCCTGCCTCAGCCTCCTGAGTAGCTGGGATTACAGGCATGTGCCACCACACTGGGCTAATTTTTTATGTTTTTGGTAGAGACAGGGTTTCACTATATTGCTCAGGATTGTCTTGAACTCCTAAGCTCAAGAGATCCTCCCAGAGTGCTGGGATTACAGGTGTGAATCACTGTGCCTGGCCTAAATTTGGTGATTTTTATTTAATCATCAGCTTTCATTACATTCCAAAATATCCAACTACTTGAAGCACCCTTCTTTACCACACACATACTCTATGCTTATTGGTATCTCTAGGTTTTTCCCTATGCTTTCCCTTTTGTCTCAAATGCCCTTTTTCTCCTGACTCCTGCCAATACATTTTTCAATACCCATGTCAGGTTTTAACCTCCTGGAGGAGGTATAATCTGACTCTACTCTCTTGGGTTAGAAATGGCTTCTCTGGGCTCCCCCAGCAAAGTCCATGTGTCTGTCAGAAGATCAGTAATGTAGTACTAAAATAATCCACCTCCCTCACTAGTCCAAAGTTCCAGGACAGCAGACACAGTGTCTTACTCATGTTTGTATGACAGTGTCTGAAATAGAGAAGGCGTCTTCTCACTAGGTGTTTATGAGCCTAACATCTTGTACTTACAAAGTGACGCAACCCCCAGGCCACTTGCAGCCCTAGAAGAAAGGAATTAAAAAAGAAGGAACCAAAGGAAATTCTAACTGGACGTGGAGGGCCTCATTAACTAAATAGCCTTTTCTCATCTTTTTCTCCCTGAAGAGCCAGATAAACCCACGGGGCAAATGGGTATCTCCCCCCCACCCCACCCCACCCCCCGCCCCGTGATGTGGGCAACATTTTCCACAGTGAAGACAGAAAACAAATGTGAGTTGCTTCTCCTCCTAAGAGTCTGACTTAGGAAAACAGAGTAGCCTAGCATTCTTGGTAATAAGGCACTTTCTCACTGAACGTCTTAACATGGAAAATACCAGATGCCACCAACATTTGCATACTTAAATGACCTTGCCTTAAACGCTTCTCTATTAAGATATGATATGCTCTTACACCCTGAAGCTTAAAAAGCACATTAATATACATGAGTTAATTTGACCCCACAGCTATTATGTGAGAAATCATCACCCCTTCCATTTTATAAAGAAAAAAGCGTCAAGAAAGGTCAAGCTAGTTGCTTAACTTCAAATCCCAATTTTTCAAATTCCGAATTCTAATCCCATGTTCTCCCATCCAAGTACTAACCAGGCCTGACCCTGCTCAGCTTCTGAGATCAAATGTGTTCAGGACAGCAAGGCCATAGATTCTAATCCCCACAGTGACTTTCTTGATATTTTACTTCCAGTTAAATGGTAAAATCCAACTTGGGAGTTTTGTACTTTATAACTTCATGAAACAAATGTTCATTGAGCATGTGCTCAGTGCCAGACCCTGGTTATATGGCTGTGACATTTCCTTTCCCTAGGTCCCTTTCACCCTGAGTGGTGTGTTGTCTTCTGAAGCCCATAAAGGTACTCCAAATGACTCCTCAGTCCTCAAATCACAGACACTGCTGTTCTCATATTTTTGGTTTTAAATGGGTTCTTGGCTGGGTGTGGTGGCTTAGGCCTGTAAATCCTAGCACTTTCGGAGGCTAAGGCAGGCGGATCATGAGGTCAGGAGATCACGACCATCCTGGCTAACACTGCACAACCCCGTCTCTACTAAAAATACAAAAAATTAGTTGGGCGTAGTGGCACTTATAGTACCAACTACTAGGGAGGCTGAGGCAGAAGAATCCCTTGAAACTGGGAGTTGGAGGTTGCAGTGAGCCGAGATCGCGCCACTGTACTTCAGCCTGGTGAGAGCGAGACTCCGTCTCTAAATAAATAAATAAAATGAGTTTTAACTGTCTTTAATCTCAAACTCTAGCTTTGGTTAGTTAACACTGGTTAGTTATACCCAGTTTAGCTCAGTTCCCAGAGCAGCAAGGTTTAAAGGCAGCTGACTTGGCAGCAATTTTTAGGAGGCTTTGGGGTCAGAAAAACAGAAGGTTAAAATTCTGACTTCAGCATCTATTAACTGTGTGATCCCAGCCCTTAAGTTCTCTAATTCTGATTACTTTAGCATAAAATGTGGCAGTACAAGTGTCAGAGGAGTTCTGTGCAAATGAAGATGATAATACAGCATTGTGTTGAAAAGAAAACCAAACACATAGCCCACACTTGGAATGAAATACATGGTACCTAATGTTATTTCCCATGAGGATGAATTAATTCTCTATTCATATTCTCAGTCTAAAAATATGTTTTGCCACATAATGGTTAGCATGAGAGGGTGATAATTGAAAGTGATGGGAAAACAGTTAATTGGGTACACATGGACATAAATATGGGCACAATAGACACTGAGGAATAAAAGATGAGGGAGGAAGGGAAGGGGACAAGGGTTAAAAAGTACCTATTGAGTACTATTCTCACTACCTGGGTGACACATACAATCAGACACCAAGCCTGAGGATCATGCACTATACCTTTCACAAATCTGCCTGTGTACCTCCTGATTCTAAAATAAAAGTTAGGAAAAAAAAAAACACTTCAAAATTAAGATAGGGAGGAAAAGCAATGAGTATTTGCCACACTGCAACTGTAAAGCAGGTATGCCCACAGGCAGAATACAAAATAACAAAAAATTGTGTAAAAGGTTCAGTTAAAGATGCCATGGCAACCTGGTACATGTAAGGGTGTATATATAGCTCTCTCTTTGGAATAAATATAGGCAAACCAAAAACAAAGTGGTCTTATTTGTGATCAAAGGACACGTTAAATGAAGTGTTCAGCAGTGCTGGGGTGGGGGTATACAATGACAGGTATGTAAATAGGAAAACCTTGGGCTAGCAGGGAGCTTGCTACAATGGTTGCATCAGCATGTCAGCCATGAGTCAGAGGTGCTGCAAAGATCCCTCCTGTTCCATTACCCTCTGCTCCTAGGGTCTATATCCTGTGGTTTCATTCCAACAGACAAGACAGCTTGGGACACACTGTAGAACAAATGAAATAAAATCACCTTAGAAAGTTTCTCCTGGAATCAGGACCACTGAAAACCACTTACATTCCAGGCTCAGCAAGAAGCAAGTAAGCTTTCCTTTGTGGCACGCATGCCTGAGCTGCACAGAGAGCTGGAAGCACAGCAGAAGGCAGCCCCACTGGTGCTACAGAGAAAGTGGAATGGCGAGAACTTTCTCCGCTGCAGACACAGCCCAGTTTAGATCTCCATGGCATGTGGGAAGACAGCAGCAGCATCACGGTCATTTTTCAAGTGTCTAACATTTGAAATCTCTGTAGGAGTATCAAATGCTAACAACTAGATTCCTGCACTGCACTTTCAAACTATTCACCGACGTCCCGCAAAGAGTGCTGGGGAAGATATAAAGGTTAATATTACCTTTTCTAAGAAGTGTCATTTGACAATTGGCCTCCTTCCTAAAAAAGTTTCTAGATTTTTAAACTTCTCTTTGGACAATGAAACATGAAAATTACACACACCGCTGGCACTGGCCAACCAGCAGCTGAAAACGGTGTCAGGGTCCTGGTGCTGGATTAGAAGTCTAGGGACTTGGGTTCAAGTCCTGGCTATGAGACGTCTAAGAAATAATCCCCTTAAGCTTCACTTTCGTTATTTGTAAAAATGAAAAGGACAGTAGCTTACCTGCCCTGCCTACTCACAGAAGAGCTGAGAGGATATTGGTTAAAGTGTCATGTAAATCCAAAGTCTAATGGTTTGGGTGCAGTGTGGTCACGCGACAGGTCCTTCCCGTGACTGCCTCAAGAGGCCCAGTCACCACGCTGATTACATGGACCTTGTCGATTTTTCTGGGGAAAGCAGAACAAGGGCATCTCATTCTTTACCTTCTTTTCATTGACATCCACCTGTTCCTCTTCCTCATTTACTTCTGCTGGCATCTCTTTGATTTTGTTCAGCAGCTCAGCCTTGGGAGCAGACACACTGTAATAGGCAGGGCAGTTGACCAACATACCCACTGCTTCCTTGTCTTCATTCCTAGACCATAAAGAACACAAAGTACAGTCGCATGGAGCACGCCAGAGGCTTCACTTCACGGCAGATGTCAGTCCATTCAGAAATGCCTAACAATTCTATTTAATTTCTTTCCCAGAAATTAGGATGAACTAGTAACTGTTAACTAATGAGTGATTACTATGTACAGGGCTGTTGAAGCCAGGCAAACTTGGGATGGATAACCACCAAAGGCAGTATTAGGGATGACAGTGGGGGCCAAGCCTGTGGCCTCGCCAGCTGACTATCAAGAAGACATTTAACCTCTCTGCTTTTGTGATTCATATAAGAATGATACTGACTCCTTATTTTAGAGAAAGGCAGTGTGGAACCATGACTCAGTCAATGTGAAAGTATTTTCAAGGTGCTGCACAAACCTCAGGTTTTAGGTCAATTACTTCCTATATGCCCTTGGTTACGTGTAATCTTTCCAGTGCCTACTATGTATTATTGCTTGAATACACAAAATTTTTCCTTCTCAAATACACCTGCTATCCCACATAAGCCTGGGAAATCTGCAGCTTGCTGGTCCACAGTGAAATAATACAAGCTATAAAATCTACTCATTGATAATATAATAGGGGTGTTTCAAGGCTGAAGAAAAAACTCAGAATTGAGAAACCTGATGTCTACTGTTCTGTTTTTACCACATTTGAGTTGCCTTTCAGCCGACAGTTCATATCCTGCCCACTGAATAAAAGACTATGGAAGTAAGATTCAGAACGTTATTCAATCTTGTGATACAATTTAACATCTAGCCCATCATTTTACTATGGAATAACGAACACACACACAAAAAACCATCTTTACTAGTTTCCTGCTTGATAACTGTCCCAAAAAGCAACAATGATCACATTTAATCCAGTTAATCGAAAGAGATTTTCTGATATATTTTTGTTTTTTGTTTTCAGGTATGTCTGCTGCATTACAAATGAGCTTCTCCAGCGTCTGACCAACCCTCACAATGGCCACTGGCCGTCTCATGCCCAACAGGACAATGCTTATTTCCACCAGGAGATGGCGCATGACTTTTTTTTTTTTTTTTTTTTTTCTAATCCCCAGGAAGGTCTCAGTGCTGCCAGAAATTATATGACCATTCCGCTTCTAAACTGACAGGTATTTTCAGTGGTCATGCTAGGAAATACTTTCCTAAGGATTTTACTTGGGTCCTTCTACAGCCAGTGGTCAGAGAACAGAATGAGCATACTGCAACCACCCCTGGTGAACTGACTGGCACACCCACAAAAATCTAATCTCTGGGGTCCTCCTAGTATCTAGTGGATTGCCTTGCACGCTGCAGGTGCTCAGTAAGTGTTTGCTAAAGACCCGACCCTGGATAAGTCACTTGACCTCAATTAGTCTGTTTCCCAAATCTGAAAAAAAGTGGAGGGAGATGGACAAGGTGACGGAAGAGCCTCTGACAATAAGACAAATAGCTTGTAAGTATCACATAGCTCTTTCCTTTCTCGCTCCACCCGCAAAATGAAATGTGGTGGTCCTGTTAGTAATTTAGTTAGGATCAGTGGGAAATTTTTAAAATGCAAGCCCCAATCTGGATAAAATGTTCTGTTTTTATTTAGTCTGGAGGCCACTAACTGCTGAGTCCCAGATTGTCAATCCACAAAGATTTCATCGAAAATTAAAGAGAAAATGAAAACCACTCAAACTGTCTCATCATAGTCCTTTAAGGAAATAAAACATGCAAGAAAATATTGCAGTAACCCAGCAAAAATGAAAAGCATCACAAACACAGACTACTCACTGGGACATGAGTTACATGCCTGGCCTCAAGGAGCTTCAGAAGCAGAGGCTCATGGACTGGGCAAAACCAGAGAGTGGGCCCCTATTCAGACCTTTCCTGTTTTTCAGGATTTGCACCAACACCCACCTTAATGCCTCAAAGGTAAGGGTCAGTGTAGTAAATGAATCTATTTCTTTAGGCTCTCCTCCTTACTAAGCCCCTCAGTCTTGGCAAGGTGTTGGCCACGCTCACCACTCCTACTTGTTCCTTTCACAGCACTGAGCTCTGGGGGCCTCTCTGCCAGAGCAACTCTTGATATAGAATGGGCAAGTGTATCTTTGCTGAGCTGGAGGCACTGTGTAATTGCTGGAAACAGGCACAGTCATGGGGTTGTGATCAAATCCAGGTACCATCACTCACATGTTCAATGACCTTGGTCTTAATTCCTCTCTACTTCAGTTTCCTCATTTGTAAATGGAGATAAAATTGGTAGCTACCTCAGAAAGTTCTTGTGAAAATTAAATAATATTGATATAAAAAATTTAATATGCTGCTTGACACACAGAACATACACAATGGGTATTAATGGAAATTATCATCATTGTTACTATTACTTTGTTGTTGCCTATCTGTCATCCTTACTCCCCAAAACCGTTCCCCAAGACTGAGATGCAATGTCACTCTTGGGTCAGGAGCTGTGGAAGTAGGAAAACATCAGGCAACTAGTCCTAGACTTATCATCATGGAAGGAGTTTGATTGTAAGTCTCTCTGAGGATATCACCGGGGACTTACCTTTCGCCTTCACATCCTGAGCAGCTGACAGTTCTCTGTATGGCCTTCCTCTTTACACTGTTTTCCTCTAGCAAGTTCACATCTCGGGGAAACAAACCTTCCATCAGGTCCATCGTTGTCTTCAGCCTGGAGTCTGGATCCAGAATGTCTGCCAGAGATTTGTCTTGGTGGACAATTTCCTTGGCCAGAGCCTCTGTTCTAATGTCTTCTGAGCTCTTCTGAGGATCAGAACTGACTTTCTTTTCTAAACCCTGAGTTCCATTGACTGGATCATGGGTGAGGCTTTGAGTCCGGGTGGGTGCGGGCTGCCCACCAAGAGACCCAGCAAGTTGGGGCTGCACACTCATGATGGAAGATGGTTTGGATTCAGCCTCTAAATCCTTGATAGAAGTTTGGAGTCTGGAAGCCAGTGTCTGACTGCCTACCACATGGGCTGCACGAGTCACATGCCTTTCCCTTGCAATTGTCACCTTAGCAAGTTTGTTGGAGCTGCCAGGGATATTAAAAAAAAAAAGAAAGAGAGAGAGAGATAAGAGAAGGGCGATGAGAAGAGGGTGGAAGAAGACTGAGGGAGAAGCTTTCTATGTCAGGGCTGTAGCTTTCCACATCTTCCACATCTTACTGACAGAGCTAACATTAAAGAATATGGCTCCTGACTGAAAGTGGGTCTCCTGATGCTGAACCCCCACATTAAAAATGTTTACCTGCCTAGGCAGGGGTCATGCTAGATGCAAAAACACACATAGATATATACATAGGAGTGGGATGAGATAGTCGCATTTGTGAGTTCAGCCCCTTCTCTGGAAAGCCACAGCACTCTAAAATAAAGGGGCTTCTCTTGAGCCCAGCAGCTGGTCAGGAGGCTGTCATTGCCTCAGGAAGATGGATTCAACAGGAATTCAGTTCTGGTGAATGTTGCTGTTAGATTCCAGAGATTTAGGAAAGGTCTAGGTGAACAGGGGGTGGTAGTAGCAAGTCACTCTTGTGGTGTTTAAAGAAGGCCACTCCAAAGGTGCTATCAGGCAGTGTGTTTCTTTGGTGTTTTGAGAGATCACTTGTTCTAGGGACTGTGTGCTGGGGAATACTTCTTTCTCATTCTCCTAGCTTTCAAGAAGAGGTTTCCCTAAACAATACTGACTTTGAGCCCTACTCTTTATTCCTCCCTATGGACATTCACATCCCAGTCTCTTTCAAGAGTGAGGCTGCCTCAAGGCTTTATCTATTAATATCTATGTGTGTTTGTGTGTCTAGCATGACCTTTGATGAGGCAGGTAAACCTGTTTAACTTGGGGTTCAGTATTAGGAGACCTACTTACAATCTGAAGCCATACTTTTTAATGCTAGCTGTGTCTCTAATAAAAGTGATGTTTTTGTCTTCTATATGCCCTCCTCTTTTGTCTGATTTCCTGATTCAGAATTCAGCCAGGGAGGAGGGATTTACTTGAACTCCTTGAGACTATCCTGTCCCTAGAAGTGAAATGTACCCCTTGGGTTCCAACTTTCATTTCTGCCATCCTGGCTCCTCCATAGCCAATGACACTGGTCAAACTACCTCCCAAGGCAAATAGATGAACAGTGTCCTGAGCTGAGCTAAATAGAAACATCTCCATGCCAGGGCTCTTCTGTGGCCAGTAGGACCAGGGCCACCTGGGACATGACACTCTTCTATAAGGGAAACCAACCCAGACTGCTCACTCACCTGGGGTGTGGCCCCTTGGGGTCCTCACTGTCCAGCTGTGCCTCACACACAGCGTGGGGAGGAGGTGGAGGGAAGTCATCCATGCTATATACCGGGGTTTCCTGACTCAGTGGAGGAGGTGGGGGTGGGGGAAGAGTTTCAAATGTGGGGCTGGATGTGGCCTTGGGGTGTAGATCCCTCATAAACACTTCGTCGTCACAATCCTCACGAGGTGATGGGGAGTCCCACAGGATGGACTCAGATATTCGGAGGGAGATCCTCCCTGGAGTGCTTGGGTCCCCAACAGGCGTGTCTGGGTCGGAAGTGCTGCATGAACTTGGAAGACTCTGCTGTTTTTGATAGTGCTTGAGGTCTGCAAACTCAGGAGCTGAGGATTCCTTAGGAAGGCTGTCCTCTCTGGCTGCGTGGGCCCACTTCACTCGAGAAGGGGCCGGCCGCTGAGGCAATGAGACCATCTTCCTCATTCCCTCTTCTACCCCATGCTCTGGGCCATCGCGCTCACGGCCTCTTGGACTGGAAGGCTGGGTCTGGGTGTGACCATTGCTTCTCTGGGTCATGGCAGGGGTGTAGGCCGGGAGAGGCTGTCGCCCTGTCTGACCATCCTGTGAGCAGTAGCCGGAGGGAACGGCTGAAGGCAGAGTGGTGGCAAGTGGGGTCAGGGGTGTAGCCCTGGTGTCTGTGAGCTGCCCTTGCGTTCCTACCAGTGGTGGCCTGGGGCAGGGTGTCCTGCTGGCTTGCCTCTGATGGTCCGGGGTTGCAGGACATTCACTAGGAGCGGAGGAATCACCGATGGCTTTGCAGCCTGAACCACCCCAACGAGGGGTGGGATGGTGGGAGAGCAACGGCGTCTCTTTTTGGCCTCTTTCTGAACAGAGTGACCTGGAACAGCACACAGACAAGAGGGTTACAGCTCTGAAGAAAGGGGCAAACACGCAGCCCAAGGCACCTTACATAGATGAGAAAATCATTTAAGAGGAAGGAGGACCTCCTTCCTTCTCCCCGGAAGCTGCATACTGTCTTCCCTGGCTGCTCATAGGAAGACCTAAATTAAACAAGTACTAGACAGGCATAAATTCCTTCAGGAAAATGTCACATGGAATGCCTGGGTTCACAAGGCATTTTCTTTTATTAACCTTCTCACCGCCCCCACATCCTGTACACACCATGCAACATAAGGCAGCTTCTGAGGATATGAAAACAAACAAGTGGTACATTTCTTCAGCCCCATTTCAGACTACTTCAGGATATAACTCCCAGCTCTGGGAAGAAATAACGCTGCCTTCTTCTCTTCCAGTGTGATCCCCACGGGGGAGGTGTGTTTTAAAGCATTTGCATGGGCTGCTGAATTTGAAGGTTTTATTTACAACTTTTGCTTACTCTCCTGGTGTTTTCATTTCATGTGATGAAAAATAAAAAGGAGGGGACAGTCTCACATAAGGAGCTAATAAGCAGTTACCTCTGGAGAAAGAGGCTGGCGATAATAAGCAAATATGGTACATGGTGATTTAAACAACTGTACTCTAGGCTCCGAGGAAAAACCCAACAATTCGCAAAACTTTATTATACTGTGTTCTAAGGGAGAAAAACCCTCAAAACAAAACAAAAAAGAGTCTGTGGCACTGTCTGCTGTGCAAGAGTTAATGTGAGGATAAAAAGATCTCCAGCAAACCCACCATGATTTATAAATTCCCTGTCTGCAGTTCCCTGACTGGCTATGTGAGTGAATCTGGAGCACAGATGGCACGTTTCATCTCACAGATCTGACTCCTCTGAGGGAGCGGTGACTCAGTCCCACATCAGAGCAATAATACAGGGCTTGCCACAAGATCATCCAAGTGCCAGGGAAGCAGAATGCAGCATGTGGGGGGGAAAGATGGCAAAGTACCAAATTAGCTCTTCTTATGCCTTTATTTTTTCTTTATTATACACAGATGCAGATGATAGAATAAAGGGCCCACCTCTCTCTCAGATGCAACCCCTCCCTTCCCATGACCGGTCCTTTTCATTCAGACATGGTTTCTTTAGCAGAAACCTCTTCATAGCAAAGTGTGGCCACTCTGCAGTTCCTAGTGGTTTCCCCAGTGGGCATATCAGAAACCCTGAGGAAGGGGACTCACTGGGAATACTCTTCACTTGCGTCTCATCCATCCTGGCATCCCCAGTACCTGGCATCAAGTACCCCCTCAGCAAGTGTCTGTTGAATAGTGATGTCTCCTCTGCCTGATTGCTCTCCAGACTGTAGCATACAAACTGTTTTTAAACTCAGCATCCTCTAAGAGGACGTGGAGTTTGCTGAAATCTGATGTTTTAGCGACTAATTCAGATGCCTTTGTTATATCTTGAGGCTTTTTAAAGGGGAAGACATTACTAAAACATACAATAATATACATTTATCCTTTAAAGATCCAGCCCAATAAACTTTTATATGTTTTCAGTTTGTGCGACCTTAGTTTATACAAGCTAAAGTGACTTTTTTTTTTTTTTTTTTAAGGCAGAGTCTGACTCTATTACCCAGGCTGGAATGCAATGGTATGGTCTTCGCTCAGCTCACTGCAACTTCCGCCTCCCGGGTTCAAGCAATTCTTCTGCCTCAGCCTCCCAAGCACAGCTGGGATTATAGGAGCCCGCTACCAAGCCCAGTCGATTTTTGTATTTTTAGTAGAGATGGGGTTTCACCATGTTGGCCAGGCTGGTCTTGAACTCCTAACCTTGTGATCCACCCACCTTGGCCTCCCAAAGTGCTGGGATTATAGCAGGGTGTAAGAGGCTCACCCAGAGTCTGCTGATATGTATTCAGGAATCCTACTATTCAAGTATGGATTTTGAGAGCAATTAGTCTTATCCTTTTCTGTTTTGTTTTAAAAAAAACCATACTTTAAAAAAATTGTCATTTAAAAAAACCCATAAAATTTCATCTTAACCATTTTTAAGTTCATTAGTGTTAATTAACGTTCACACTGTTGTGAAACAGATCTCCAGAACTTTTACAAGTTGCAAACCTAAAACTATGTACCCACTAAATAATAACTCCCCATTTCTCCTCCTACTAACCCCTGGAAATCACCGTTTCACTTTGTGTTTCTATGAATTTGACTACTTTAAGTACTTCATACAAGTGAAATTATATAGTATATCTTTTTGTGACTGGCTTATTTCACTTCACATAATATGTGGTAGCATGTGGCAGAATTTCCTTTTTAAGGCTGAGTAATATTCCATTGTATGTCTACACCACATTTTGTTTATCCATTCATCTGTCATGAATAGACATTTGGGTTGTTTCCACCTCTTGGCTACTGTGAACAGTAAATACTGCTGCTATGAACATGGATGTACAATTATTTCTTGGAGACCCTGCTTTCAATTCTTTTGGACATATACTCAGAAGTGGCATTGCCAGATCATATGATAGTTCTATTTTTAATGTTCTGAGACCTCCATGCTGTTTTTCATATGGCAGCACCATTTTACATTCCCACTACAGTGTGCAAGATTTCCAATTTCCCCATATCCTCACCAACATTTGGTGTTGTTTTTAATAGTAGACATCCTAATGTGTGTGAGGTGACATCTCATTGTGGTTTTGAGTTCTCTAATGATTACTGGTGTTGAGCATCTTTTCACATGCTTGTTGGTCATGTGTCTACCATCTTTGGAGAAATGTCTATTCAAGTCCTTTGCCCTTTTTTATATAGACAAGTACATTTTTATTTTTGAAATTAACAAGTGAATGTCTCAATTCAGTTGGATTGGTGTCCTCTAGTGTTTGTTTCTTTCACACGGAAGATAAAAAGAATGAAAAATAGTTTGAAAACAGAAAAAAAGATATAATAATAACTATTGTCTTTTTGTGACCCATGAAGACATCAAACTCTTATAAAACTTGAACAGTGCAAAATCTCTACTTTTCTATAAATTAGAACATTTAATATTTTTTAAAAAGCATTAATGTAAAGTCCGAATTTCATGTATTTAGGGAGAATTATGTCAGAGTGGAGGAAAACTGACTGATCCTAATAAGCCTCCATGTAGAAGAGGGGGCACATTCCTCCAAATTCTACCTTCCAAATTGTGCTGACACATTTCACTATTGTCCACAGTTGATGTGACTCTTATCTTCTTACTATGATTAACAGAATGACTATGGTAAAAGACCATGCAAACCTTTAGGAAAAAAAAAAGAGTGTTATACTTTTTTGTGTCTTCTTGGTTGTAATGGTTAGAAAACCAAACTGCAAGCAGAATTTTTAGTATTCAAAATTCATAGCACGATCTGTGATCATGCCCCACCCACATTTTCTTGGTGGCTGCTTCTGTAGTGACACTTTCCATGCCTATGCTTTTCCCCAGGACAGCTAAGAATTACATGTCCTGAAATTAACAATATCCTTTTTAGCAAGCACTATGCATGTAGCTGCACCTATGCTAAGGTCAGCTGCCAAAGAAAAGACAAGCATTTTAGTTACTCAGTGGTATGTGATGCTTGTCTTATTTATTCTTTTGGCATTTTTGCAGCTCATAAAGCTTTTTTTTTCTTTTAACACAGAACTAATTTTGTTGAGGAAGGTTTTTTTCCCTGCTAAAATCGCTACCTGTGTTTCTCAGATTGTCAGTATTGCCACCGAGCCAGCCAGCCTCCTCCCCCTTCGCTTGTCACCTTCAATTATTTTTTTACTTTCCAACTTTTATTTTAGGTTCAAGGAGTACATGTGCAGGTTTGTTACATGAGTAAATTGCATGTTGCCAGGGTTTAGTGTACAGATAATTTTGTCACCCAAATAGGCATAGTACCTGATAGGTGGTTTTTCAGTCCTCACCGTCCTCCTACCCTCCGCCCTCAAAGAGGTGCCAGTGTCTATTGTTCCCTTCTTTGTGTCCATGTGTACTCAGTGCTTAGCTCCCACTTGTAAATGAGAACATGCAGCATTTGGTTTTTTGATCCTGTGTTCATTTGCTTAGGATACTGGCCTTCGGCTCCAACCACGTTGCTGCAAAGGACAGATCTTGTTCTTTTTTACCTTTGCCCATTTTTAAATAGGGTTACTTGATTTTCTGTTGTTTAGTCCCACCTTTGATTTCAGACCAATTTTCTTTAGCAGTGCTCTAGTTTATTGATAGTTTTCTCTTGTTTCTAGCTTTTAATTAATACACCCAAACTAACCAAAGTCCTCAGCCTCACCTTGAATACTTTCTTCCTTGTCAACACAGCTATAGGAGCAAGAGCATATAAACATGGAAGGCTGATGTTGGCTGGAAAGCAGGTCATTAATACCTACTTTCTGAATATGTTGGCTGCTTCTACTTGACAGTATTAGGTTGAGTTATTAAGAAGATGAATGTAGAAATAATGATTGAATAAAATATAAGAAAAATTAAGGAAATGGTTTAAATACATGGAAAGGAGTAGGTAGGGTGTAGGTTTATCATTAGTAATAATAGATTATAGTAGTAGATAACTCTGTAATGCTGCATTAAAACTATATACAGGGTACATGGTTCAGAGAAAACCCTTTTTGGAAATTTCTACTTATTAAGTCCCATGTGAACAGTTCAAAAGTTTTAAATTTTAAATTAAGTTTTCATTGTATTTTCTATCTAGGATATATGATTTTGATGGCATTGAAAGAAAAAAAAAAAAGACTTTCCTCTGCTTTCTGTCCCCACATGTATAAAATTATGATTTTGAGCTTTATTTTTCGCCTCCAAGGCTTCCAGTTTGTCTTCCTCTGTGAAGCCGTTCATGAAATGCCCATTCTTCTCTAGCACTGTAGTCACCAGATGCGATGCTTTGCACACAGAGCTGGAAGAGATCAGCCCACACAGGAGGCCCTGTTTGTGAGCACCATGGGACATGCCTGAGAAAAGTGCCTACATTAATTATTCTGTTGTCAAACTGGCTAGAAGTCAACCTTGTCCTCAACAGCACATGTTCAAAACCTATTTTGAACAAGTGTCATTCTTAAAGAAAATCATTTATAAATGGAAAGTAAAAAGTTCTCCATGGCCTAGACAAATCAAAAAAGCAGGTGACGCTGTAAGACATCACATTTCAATTTCTTGTAGAAAGGAACAAGAGTAGTTTTACACCAGCAGCATTCATACGTAGAGGGCATCATAAGTACACATACATACCTAGATCCAGGGCCAGCCAAATAACATGGATCCTTGACAAGACCAAAGCCATTTTCTTCCCCCAAAAGCACATCCTTGAAACACAAGAAAGGCACAGCATTACTACCAATAAACAGGTGTTTAAATTTACTAAGGGGGTGGAGGTAAAAAGGAGAAGGAACACTTATTTCCTGGCAACCTACTACTGTCAGGCCACATGGTGGTACTCTTACATAAGCCCACAGCATTGATGTAGGAGATAAGCCAAGGATTTAAAAAAAAAAAAAAAAAAAGTGGCAGAGTCAGAATTTGAGCTTAGTCTGTCTCAGCAGGTTCTTCCTCTAGCAAGGATGTTTCTTAAGTAAGAGAAGTCTAACAATTATCTCCAGAGTTAAAAACAACTGCTAAACTTGAAATATGATAAGGAAGACAATGAATTCAATGGGCCAAGCATTTCAAATAGCAATAGGGAAATATAAGAGATGACAGGAAAAGGATAAGCCATTACATTGTGCAAAAATTTCAAATGTTCTTAATTACAATTAGTGAAGATATGAATTTGGATTGTAATTGGGTTGCAATACATTCTGGGAAAAAATTTGACTCTCATGCGAGATCAATAACCCTGGGACTTTTCAGGAGTAGTTTTTGTTTCTGTTTTAATGAGGGTATATACTAGTATCCTGAAAGGGTTGTCAGTTTTTGATAGTATACAATTTGGTCCCTGTAATCAGGTCCATGATGAAGATGATGATGTTGCCATTTATGATAATACATTCAACTCTGAATTATTTATGATGAAAGCAGACAGGCAAAAAACAGAAAATCCATATATAATCTCCATATATAATCTCCAACTTAATTTCAGTAATTTATTTTGGGATTTAACCCTGCTCAAAGGGTTAACTGCTATTCACTCCGCTCCTCATTGCTTTTGTCCAGTGGTTGAGAAACTAGTAAGCAATGAAAAGGGTCAAAGGTGGTAGCAGGCAGAAGAAACAAACCCCTGAACATTATTCATAATTGCAGCTACCCCTACTGGGTATTTACTGCATGCCAGACACTCTGCTAAGTATTCTGCACCAACAAATTATATGCCTGGAATATTAGGCACTTTACTTTTTTTGGTGGGGGTAACAATCTTTACAACAATTGGAAGTGGGGTCTGTAATTGCAGCTCTGCGAGGAGACATATCATGCCCACAGTTAAATAAGCGGAGAAACTAGGATTCAAGCCATGATATCTTCAAAGCCCAAGGTCTTGCCATGGAATCTTTATAGGTTGAATGGCAGCTGGGCTGGATACAATCAGACTTAAACAGCTTGAGAAAAATGAATTCCATGTGTTCTGATTCACTCAAATATCACTGTAGGGAATGAGAATTCCTGTTCTCCATGAAACTTTATGTTCCTTTAAAAGTCTTTTCCCACCACTTTTCCCTCTGTTGACATGAATGTGCCACCTTGTCAACAATTAATTGGAAAAGCCTAGGTCCCATGTGAGCTCCTAACCCAGTAAAGTATAAATATATATTCATATCCTATTACAGCCTTTGCATTTCAGTTTGACAATCTAACTTCTGTATTCATATGATTTGGCTCCTAGAATATCAAGCTTAAAATGATATTTATGTGGATGTGGATAAAATAAAGGAATTAGACCCAGTAATAAACTATTGAGTGAATTCTCTGAATCTTCTGTCAATCAAAATACCACTTGGACAAAGGAAAATATCTTCCCAACCTCATACAAGCCCAAAGAAGATAAATTCCTGTTGCATTTTCTTGCTTTAATTTGAGCATATATTCACTGTCAAAGAAGACTATTTACTATAAACTGGTAGGAAGTACAAAGTACTTATTATGGCAATTATAGGAAAAAACAGTGGCTATGGGAGAAACACTAGGCATAGAATTATACCAACTTGTTAAGTGTCTAATTTGTTTTTGTTAATTATCTCAAAATTGACTTTAAAATACACCGGTTCTTAGCATACTTAATAATGTAAATCTGAAGTCTACTGAATCTCAATTCTCTTGTTTTGGGTTCCAAATTAGTTATCTCAATATGTCTGTTGCTGATGAAACATGAAGACAACAATATTCACCTACTTTAGAATATTAGTTTCAAGTAACTACTAAAAATAATTAGAAATCCTTATGAAAAATCTTATGTGAAAGTACAGTTATGTGTCACTTAACAACAGGGATATGTTCTGAGAAATGCATCATTGTGCAAACATCATAGAGTGTGCTTACAGAAACAGATGACACAGACTATTACATCCCTAGGCTATATGGTATAGGCCTATTGCTCGTAGGCTACAAAACCGTACAGCATGTTACTGTACTGAATACTGTAGACAGTTGCAACACAATAATATGCATTTTTGCATCTAAACATGGAGAAGGTACAATAAAAGTATGGTATTATAATCTTATGGGACCACTGTCTCATATGTGGTCCATCCTTGACCATTACAAGGCATATGACTGAAATAGTTATCAATAAATGTTAAAATGAAATAAATTCATTGGCTGAATATTTTCAGATATAGGACATTTAATTCTTGCCTCTCTTTCCCCATTCTCAGCCTCTTATTATTCAAGGACAGGTCATGGTATAGTCTTAAAGTCAGCCAAGACTTAAAGGCTCTGCAGTCAGACGGTATGGGGTCAAAACCTCACTCCCTTCTACCTTGGGCAAATTTTGTACCCTCTCTGTGACTTGGTTCATTCTTCTGTAACTTAGAGATAATAATAGTATTTCCCTCACTGCACAGATGTGAAGACTAATTTTATTTTATTTTTTGAGACAGAATCTTGCTCTGTTGCCCAGGCTGGAGGGCAGTGGTGCGAGCTCAGTTCACTGCAACCTCTACCTCCTGAGTTCAAGCAATTCTCATGCCTCAGCCTCCCAAGTAGCTGGGACTACCAGTGCACACCACTATGCCTGGCTGATTTTTGTATTTTTAGTAGAGACAGCGTTTTGCCATGTTGGCCACACGGGTCTCGAACTCCTGGCCTCAAGCAATCTACCCACCTTGGCCTCCCAAAGTGCTGGGATTACAGGTGTGAGCCACTGCACCCAGCCAAGACTAATTTTATACTTAAAAAAACACAGTACAATGACTAGCACACAGCAAAAATTTGATTACTGTTAGCTATTTGTATCTTTACATTTTGTGGAAAGTTGATTCTATTTTGTATAATCTTGAATGCATGTTTGTGAAAGGATGCTAAAAAAGACAAGTTGCGTCCCACAGAATCAAGCCCATATCCAACACTGTGGTTCCATGCATTGAGCAATTTCCTCAGCAATTAAATAATGTTTGTCACACATCTCACAGTGTGTATGTTATGCATCACACATGAAGGTCCCTGAAAATACTGTGAGAACCAGAGAAATCTTTCACTTAGCATCTGGGGAAAAAATCCCCACCAGTAATCTGATTTCTCCAAGGGTTTCTCTTTATAGGCTCTACTATATTTTATATCTATGCATGAACAGGTATACATTTCTGTCTCTAAGGCAGAAATGTTGGATATCTTTCTGTAGCTTTGCAGGTCCTACCCACTTTTAACAGGTTGAGTTTTCCAAGGTCTCACAGAAAGAAGGTGGAAACAGGCAAGAGTCTGATGTGCACTTAAGCTCCATCACTAGTATCTATTTGTCCTGCAATGAAGAGGAATTAAAGGAGAGGAAAATGGAAGGCTGCATGTTTCAGGGAGGATCTCAAGCTGGCTGAGGAGAGGCCAGACCTGTCAAATGCATGAGAAGATCTCAGGCTACAAGTAGTTCAAAATGGAAGCCTCCTGCAGTCACTATTTTGGGCTAGAGATGGATCAACTGTCATACACAGAGGAACTGATTCCCATGATGACTTTGTTTTTGGAGGCAGAAAGTGTCCTCACTAATGAGAATTTTGAAAAAAAGCTAAATCCTTGTCAAAAACTTGTAAAATCCTGCCCTGTCAACACCTGACTGGTAAGCACAGGCAGCATTTGTTGGGGATAGCATCAACTAAGCTAGCAGCAGAAACACACTCCACATTTTGGTTTTAACTCAGGCAGACAGTCTCTACAAGGTCACTTAACTTGTCAGAATTCTCTAAAGCAAGGATAAGAAAAATTATTAATTAAAAAACCTTCCCAAAAGCTTACTGATAATGTTCTTGGAATTTATTCAAATAGGAAGAAATATATACAATAACCACAATAGTTATGTGGTGAGAGTAACTTTGTTTTATTTTTAACTTATCATAACTACAAATAAGGCAGATGATGAGAAGGATGCAAGGAGCAGACCGCCTTGCCATGCGGTGCTTCTCCAGTCAGCTGCTGTGCAGGAGACGGGGAGAGGGAGGAAGCTCAAGAACGGGGTTCTGGCACAGTGACAATATAGGAGATGATGCATGGTTCAGAATTTTCAGAATTTGTTGAAGCAAAGCAGTATGAAAGAAGTTATTTCATTTGCAAATATTTCCCCCTCTGCCTTTATATTCCCCAAATTAATTAATACCTAAATATGGCATTCCTTTTATGAAAAGAGTGCCCCAGTACTGTTCTGTATTCACTTGTCTTTCTAAAAAGTTTTCCAAATAATACAAAGTATTTAATTGGGATTTGGAGGAATCTCTTCACTTCTCTCAACACCCATGTTTTAGCTTTATTTCTTTATTGACCAGGCTTAAGAAATATTTTGGGGAAAAGACAAAATAACATTCATAGCTATTCAACCAATTCTCTAAGATAGAATAACAATATCTAATGGGGAATAAATAATAATGATTTGGTTTTCACCTAAGTGTTTCTATTTTCCTTAAAACACGGGGAGAGAAACGAAGAGGGGAGAGAAGTGAAGAAGACTGCTATATAGTTAAGTTGCTAAAGTCCATCAAGCTAGATGAAATTGAGTGTTACATATATGGATTTTAAATGTGTGTTAGTGGTAGGATAGGGAGTGGGAATTAGCTCTGTTCATTCTGAAGGCAGGAAAAGGCTACTGAAGGCTTATGGGAAGTTGCCTCTACATTTCTGGAGGGCTTATACTGGGAGAAAATATTTCTGTACAATTCTAAACAGAAAACACCTGGGAGGGGACTTTCTCTCAGAAGGGTGTGGGTCTGCGTGTGTGTGTGCATTAGAAAGAGTGCAGCAAACTTCTCAGCCAGTAACTGCGGAATCTTTCTTTGTCTGAACTGGTTTTCAACCAGTGCATCCCCTCTCCCCTCATCTCTTGTCATCATGCCCATCTTTTACATCCTGGCCCAAAATCCCATTTCCCTTCAGGAGAAGCAGTTGCTACTCAGATCACCTCAGAATTAGTTACTTTCCTCTCCATAGCATATTATTGATCACCATTCCCAAAGCATTCACTAGCCATATTAGAGTTATTTATATATAAGGTCATATTCCTTAATTGTGAACCCCAGAACGGCAAGAGCCTTATTTTTTTTCCTTTGTGTATCCTCCGCTGCTATAACACAGCATTTTTCATACGACACATGCTCTACAGATGCTTGCTGAATGGCTGACTTCTCTGAAAGGGAAAACAGCAGAATCTGAGAGGGGCAGTAGAGCAGAGTTCTTCCTCCCCTGTGCGAACAGGTATGGGATTCCTATTATTTTCTTCGGTGGGAAGGGAAGCGTGAAGCAGGCCACTGATCTCCAGTGGAGGCAAAGCCTGATGATAGGCTAAGAATTAGGAAAATTAATAGGATCCTAGGAGTCAGAATGCTCAGCTTCTATTCCTAGCACTGCTTGAAATTTTCAGTGAAAAGTATTTTATAATCCTTGCAGCATTTAGTGCCTTTACTAGAAAATCCTTTTATGTGAGATTTTGAGTTTCTGATTTTCCCTCCTCACCAGGATAATGCACAGAAAGAGCTCAGATAGGAGTCCGAGAGACAGGGGTCTGACATGTATAATATACTCTACTGCACAGGATTATCATGAGGATTAAATGAAATAATAAATGTAGATTACACGTAGCTGAGGACCTGCCACACACTTAGCTGAGGGCCAGGAATTCAATAACCAATGATTATCAATGTCAATAATTCTAGCTATTTTGTAGATGCAAAGTCCAATAGAAACAGAAAGGGTGCAAAGCGAAAATCTTTACAATACTCAGACCCAGACTCTAATCCATAAAAAAAAACAAAAACAAAAAAAGCAAAGAACAAAAAAGATAATCCCTAATTTTTCCTAGCCTTGCATTTTTGCATTGAGAGGTGGTGACTTCCTAAAATGGAGATATATATAAATCTATATAACAATATAGGTAATCTATATATCTGTATCTTTGTAAGGAAGCCAGGTAGGGACACTGAAAAACTCAACTCATGAAAACAAATGCTACTTTTCTGTATTTACAAGGAAAACTGAACTGGGAGAGGGGCTGGAGGGTGAGGGGTTTGGGAGCCCCATTAAAGCTTCCAGGGAGGGAGGGAGGGACAGTCCGAGACCAGGACTTGATGGTTGCGCGTACCTGGCGCTTGTTTGCGGTGGCGGGAGATGACCTGGACCTCACGTGGACAGGGACGGCGAGGACATCCGAGCGTTCCAGCAGGTCCTCTGCCGACATGGACTTCCCGGCCCTGGCCCCCCAGGAGGGTGGCTCCCTGGGGGTCTCATCCACCCTCTGGGTGTCCCTTGTTCCACCGTTTGCTCCACTGAGCAGCTCCCTTGGGACCTGGAGGTCCCCGCGTCGCCGTTCCCCGAGGCGGCGGCCACCAGCGAAGGAGCTGCTGCGATCTCGGGGAGCCTGTGGGGTTTCTGCAACAGTGGCCGGCAGGAGCGTGGCCTCCCTGCGGGGCTGCAGGCTGGGCTCCCGCAGCGAGCTCAGGCTGGAGGCCGAGGTGAGGCCGGGGCCTTCTGGCGCCGCAGGGCCAGGCTGGAGGTATGCGCTCTGGGCGCGCTCGCGCAGTGGCCCAGGCTCCTGGAGGCCACAGCTGGCGGCGGAGCCGGGCCACTTGCCGGTCTTGCGCTGGATGTAGTCGGCCAGGGCGCTCTGCTGGAACTGCTTCAGCTCGGGCCCCGACAGGCTGAGTGTGGAGCAGGCCTTGCCATCGCGCTCAAAGAGGCGGCGCCGGTCGGCTACGCTGCTCTCCGGGAAACGCATCCCCTTCCTCTGGGCGCCCAGGGGTGCCGGTTCGGCCTCCTCCGCGACCCCCACCTCGTTCATCTTCTCCGGCTCCGAGTAGGAGCGCTTCTTCTGCTCGGGGGTCAGGCGCCGGCGAGCCCCTCTCCGGGCGGCAGGGGGCGCAGGCCTGGCCAGGTCGCCCTCTGCTGGGGTCACGCTGTGCCGCTCCCGGGGCGTGTGCGGGGAGGCAGAGGCCTGCGTCTCGGGGCTCCGCAGCCCCACGTGGGCCGAGGAGGGCCGTGGCCGCCAAGGCCTCGACGCCGCGGGCGCCCCTAGCTCTAGGTCCCGGCGTCGAAAGGAAGTGGCCCCCAAAACGCGTGACTGTGCGTCCTTGATGCTGTTCCGGTAGGCGCGGCTGAAGGGGGCATCCAGCAGGGGAGACTCGGGCGAGCCGGGCCTGTCTCGCCATTCGGCCTCCCTCTCCGGCTCGCTGGAGAGCTGGAAGGTGCTCTGGCTGCGGAGGAGGCGAGCGTCCGGCCTCTGGGGGCCACGGCCGCTGTCCACGGCTCCTCCGCTCAGCTGTTGGCCGCAGGGCTGCCGGGAGGCCTCCTCCAGCTTCAGCTCACTGTTTTTGAAGTGCTGCTCCCCATTGCCTAGGGCTTCCGCTGACTCAGAGAAACGCATGTGGGCTTTTGTCTCCTCGAAGTCATTCCCAGAAGTACTGGAAGTTGAGACGGTCCTGCGGGGCCTGTAGTTATGACCAAAACCGGGGCCGCCTACAATCGGTCTCTGGTTCCCTTGCTCTCGCTGCTCGAATTTGGAGACCTTCTCCAGCACCGAGCAGTGGGGCTTCCCATACTGAAAGCCTTGAAGAGCCGAAGCGCTGCCTGGGCCGGGCCCCCTTCGGCCGAGACTGGATGTGTGCGGGTGTGAGGGGGAGGGCGGCTCTTCGGGCCTTGGGTCTGCGCTGTGGAAAGAGGCCGAGGCACCGGTCCTCCCCTCGGGCCGTGGGTAGAAAACATACCCGTCCAAATGGCTCCCGAAGTCAGGAGGAGCTTTCCTCCCAGGGTCTTCTGCCTTGGTGTTGACTGCACAGGTGGGCCTGCCCCCAGTGTAACTCTCCTGGGCTCCTCGGCCTAGCTCCAGGCTGCTGTGTCTTCTCAGACTCTCAGGAATGTTCTGGAGAGATGAGAAGGCTGACTTGGTCTTGCCGAAGTTGCCTGATAGACTCTGGCCTAGGCCTTCTCTCTCCAGCCTCCTCCAGAGGTTGGCATTGTGGTCTTCCTGGAAATCGCCCTCCCAGGGCTCTGAGAGCCTGGAAGATCCCTTGTCTTCACCCGCTTGCCAGGCCTGGGCCTGAGGGCATTTGAGACTGTGGGGATGAGAAGATGGTTTGTTGCTGTGGGTGCTCTTTCTCTCATTGGGATGTGGGCTGTTGCCTTGGGGAGGTGTGAGATGTCTCTTCAGAGTGGCATCCTCCTCATTTTCAGTCACTGAAGAAAAATGGACTTTGGAGGGGACATACTTGGCTGTAGCTTCTGGTTTCTTCTCTACCGGAGACAGTAAGTCATGTTCTAAGGGCTGGCAGAAGGCAAACGTAGGCCTGCTAGATCCATTCTGGTTCCCATTCTCATCAATGGTAGCCATCTTGTTGCACGCTCCCGGAGCGGCTATGTATCCACTCTCCTTGGCCAGTGCAGGGTAGAGAGTCCCGTTGCTACTCACAGAAGGCTGGGGCACCTGGGCAAAGTGTGGCTCCAGGGAAGGTACGGGGTAGATGCTGGTTGGCAGCAGAGGTTGGCCAGGTTGGGCCTTCTGGGTATAATTATGCTTGGGCTTCACTGGGGGGCTGTTCTCTGGACTCTTCTCCAGCACAGTATGCAGCTGCTCCTCTATGAATGGAGACTTCAGGGAGCCTAAAGAGTTTGCCTGAAGCCGGCAGAGCCGTTTCTGATCAAGGCTAGACCAGGAGCTGGGCCGCTCACGGTGCCGAAACGCTGCATAACTATCACTCCGAGCTGGAGGCAGGGGTGCACTCACTTTAGGAGGAAGGTTGTCAGTGGCAGTCTCCAAGGAACTGGGGCACTGCTGGCTCCAGGATGGGGGTGGCACTCCCTTGCCCCGAGGAATATTAGACCATTTATCATGGCCCTGACCATCTGCTGAGGCTCGGGCCTCCCTACCTTGAAGCAGCAGGCCTGAAGAGTTCACCTCATACTCTGCTGAGACTCCCCTCCGGGTGTCATAGACTGTCTTCACATAGCGAATATCTGCCTGCCTCATCCCTTCGAGGAGACCACCTCGAGCAGAAGTTGTGTCCATGGAGCCTGAACGCTCCCGGCCAGAGATGCCAGGGGGTGGATACTCTAGGATGCTAGAACTGGTGGAGAAGGAGCTGTAAGCCGAGTCTCTCTTGTTATGGAAGTGGCTGAGCTGGTCAATGCTGCCGGTTGACTTGGCAGGGGAAAGATGGCAGGGTGGGTATGCCGCACTGGGCTCCAGGCTCTCCATGCTCCCCTGGGAGCTGCACTGGTCAGGGCTCCGCCTTAGATAGGCATGGTCATAGTTGGAGAGATCACTCGTAGAGGAGCTGGAAGAAAGGGAGACAAAGCAGTCAGCATTGCCAAGCTGTTATCATTTAGTAGGTTTACAGGCACAGGACCCAGTTTATAAATGTTCTCTTGTGCAAGAGGCTTGGTCTTTGGAAGGGTGGGTAAAAAGGGCCATATTTGGGCCTTGCTCAGCCTCCTTGTGTGTCGTTGCTAGGAGTAATTGCCCAACACTCTAACCTATGTGCCTCCAATTAATCACCCAGGCTAGCAAGGAGAGGAACGAGGAGCTCAGAGGAAGCCACGTGGCCTTTGGGCGCAGGCAGTATTTTTGATGTGATTTGCTGCATGCTGGAAATGACATTTTGCATGTGCCAAGAAATGACAGAGGTAGAAGAGTGATTGAGACTGAAATTGTGTGTCCACTGCGGTTGTTTGTGGAAAGATGAGAAAAGCTTAGTAAGAGAACAGGCACGTGAAGAAGACTTTGTGTGCACATGTATGTTTTTAGTTAATATCTTTCCTTTTTATGGAATTGAAGGATACACCCTGGCAATCTTCCTGGAATCTCAACTGTACTAGAAACAATTTGTTTGTGGTGAGAAAGCTAAACACAAAGCTGAATGACAGAAATTAGAGTCAGAAAAAGCTCATGAGAGGCAGAGAGAAGGGAAAGAGGGAAGGAGAGAAAAGATTTACAAGAAGGTGTAATCACAGGGGCTCTTGGGTACTGGGATTCTACCACCTGTGGATGACTTCCAAAAGCCTAAGCAAAGCCTCCTCATACATTTAGGAGGGCAAGACCTTCTCATTTACAAGCTCCTCCAGATGGTTTTCAGACCCTGTCTGAAGAAGAGGGAAAAGACTATCAATCATGGCATTGTACAGCCCAGAAAGTTGTCTCAAAATAAAATCACCTACAAACTCAAAATATATATTATTTTTAAAAACCACTTAAAACTCAACAATGAGAAAGCAACCTGATTTTAAAACTGGCCAAAGACATCCTAAGAAGGTACACAGATGGCAAATAAGCAAATGAAGTCTGTCATCATAAGTCACTAGGAAATTACAAAGTAAAACAATAAGGTACCGGGGAACACGTTCTCAGGACCTCCTGAGAGCTGTGCCATAGGCAAAACCCAAAAGCAAACACACACACACACACACACACACACACACACACACACACACACACAGGATACCACTACACATCTATTAGAATGGCCAAAATCCAGAACACTGACAACACCAAATGCTGGTGAGGATGTGGAGCAAGAGAAACTCTCATTCATTGCAGGTGGTAATGCAAAATGGCACAGCCACTTTTAAAAGACAGTTTGGCAGTTTCTTACGAAATTAAACATACTCTTACCATATGAACCAGTGATCACATTCCTTGGCATTTATCCAAAGGAGCTGAAAACTCATGTCCACATAAAAACCCACACATGGATGTTTAAAGCAGTTTTATTCATAATTGCCAAAACATGGAAGCAAGAAGGCTGTTCTGCAGTAGGTGAGTAAACTGTGATATATCTACACAATGGAATATTATTCATTACAAAAAAAAAAAAGAGTTGTCAAGCCATGTAAAAATATGAAGGAAACTAAAATGCATTTTACTAGGTGAAAGAAACCAGTCTGAAAAGGCTACAAACCATATGATTCCAATTACATGGCTGACATTTTGGAAAAAGGAAAACAATGGAAACCATAAAAAGATCAATGGTGGCCAGGTGCGGTGGCTCACGCCTGTAATCCCAGCACTTTGGGAGGCTGAGACAGGCAGATCACCTGAAGTCAGGAGTTTGAGACCAGCCTGGCCAACATGGTGAAATCCTGTCTCTACTAAAAATGCAAAAATTAGCCAGGCGTGATGGTGGGTGCCTGTAATCCCAGTTACTCTGGAGGCTGAGATAGGATAATTGCTTGAACCCGGGAGGTGGAGGTTGCAGTCAGTGAAGATCACACCACTGCAGTCAGCCTGGACAACAAAGCGTGAAACTCCATCTCAAAAAAAAAAGATAGGGGTTGTCAGGTCTTAGGTCTTAGGATGATGCAAGGAGGAACAGGTGGAACACAGAGGATTTTTAGGGCAGTGAAACTATTCTGTATGATACTATAATGGTGAATACATGTCATTAGACATTTTTCCCAACCTACAAAATGCACAATACCAACAGTGAACCCTAATATAAACTATGGACTTTGGGTGATTATGATGTGTCAACGTAGGTTTATCAGTTGTAACAAATGTACTACTCTGAGGGGGTTGCTGATAATGGAGGAGGCTATGCATGTATGGGGGTGGGGACTATATGAGAAATCTCTGGACTTTCTGTTCAATTTCACTGTGAAACTAAAACTGTAAAAATAAGTCTCTGTCTCTCTTTCTACACACACACACACACACACACACACACACACACACACACACACACAGGATGTATAGGAAGGCATAGTGGTTCAAATGTTTGTGACTCACTGTTCTCTAAAAGGTAAATCACTAGGAGTTCTTGCTCCAGATTTTCCATTTTTAAATACCCAGGCATTTCAGCACTATTAAAATTCATGATATATTCTTATATTTCTAGATCGCGTGTAAATAAATGTAGTGTCTTATTGGCCAAGTATGTGATAATACTTTATGGCTGGAATATTTCCAGAGAATATGCTGAGACTAGAAGAACCATATTCGGAGTTAAAACTTGTGCTGGAATTTAAGGAAAAGAAGACTACATCTTCAGCAACTCTCCTCAAGAATGTAATTTTTCTCTAGCAGAGAAAGTCAGCTTACTGAATGGCATATCCTACTCTAGGAAGGATAGGTATAAATTCAAGGGAGAAAGGAAGGAAATAGCTCCCATGCCAGCCAGATCAGGGAAACCAGACCCAGCACTCAATGGCATGCCATATGTCAAAGATTTTACTCCCTACCCCGAATTTCTTCACTACCATCTAAATAAAGAGTTCATACTAAAAAAAACACTAGACAGCCTCATTGTGGATAATCCTGTATGACCCACTCTGCTTCCTTTTTAGAGCTAATATTCCAGGGAAAATGGAACTCCGTAAGGGCCATTTCGTTCACAATTTCTGTGAAGGTAGTAAACATTAGGTAATCCTCCTTCCAACTGCTGAGAATTTTAGCAGTCTTTCATTGAAAGGATAATTCAAATCTAACTTAGGAACACACACATAAACCAAAGTAAATAAACTGATGGTTAACTGAAACACTATTGAGTGGAAAAAATGCCATCACTAATATATCTTAAAATATAGATGGTATCCATAAATATGAAAGCTCTGTCACACATATCTCTAACCAGACCAGTGCAAGGGTATAGTGGGTTCCTTCCTGTAGCAAACCTGAGGTAGAAAGATCATGGGAGGCCTCTGTCAGGTGCTCTCCCAGAGAGGGTTCTGTCCCTTCGGAATTACCATTCCCAAGCTGCCTGGGGAATATAGGCATTGGTATCACTCTCTAGGACAAGTTCTTCCACTGCTTTCTGGAAATAATTCATTTTTATTACCTTTGCCATTGATGCTTCTAAAATGGCACTTTTAATGATGGGTAAGAAAACATGGAATGAAGGTTTTTCAATCCTGCAACAATTCCACCTCACATAAAGACAGCTTTACTGTCAAGAGGGGTGCATCTTGAATGGATCAAAGTTCTTACCATAGTCTGGCTACCTCTCCAGCCTCATTTTCTATCACTCTTCTTCCTGCTCCCTGTACTTGTGCATAATAGTCTTCCTGCTGAAACTCAAACCCAGGAAATTTATTCCTATTTCAGGGTCTCAGAGTCTTTTTACTCGCTGCTCGCTCCCATCACCCAGAATGCTCTTCACCTGGCTTACTCCCTCCTTTCATTCAGAGGACCTCCTAGACTAACTAAAGAGCATCTCTTCCCTCCTTTGTGCCTGTTACCCTGCTTTATTTTATTCACAGCATTTACCACTATTTGACATGATAATCATATCCCTTTGGTTATGTGAAAGAGAATTCAACTGTATCTATAATATTTAAAGAACTGAAATGCACATACATGTTTTTTAATTCTGTGGTAGATACATGTATTCTTATAATACCGTTCTATTTTGTGTGTTTAAAAGTATTTTAAACACAGGTATCTACCAGGTATGGTGGCTCACACCTATAATCCCAGCACTTTGGGAGGCTGAGGCAGGAGAATCACCTAAGCCCAGAAGGTAAAAGCTATAGTGAGCCTTGACTCCATCACTGCACCCCAGCCTGGGCAACACAGTGAGACCCCTCTCAAAAAAGTAAAAAGTGTTTTTAAAATACTTAAAACATAGAACACAAAATAAGTGTATGAAAATATTTCCTGAAGTGTGCTCACAGAACACCAATTCCTTAAACAATTAAATATGTTTGGAATATATTGAGCTAAATAAGCTATACAGTTTTATTTACTATAAGATTTCTGAGTCTTTTAAAAACTATTGTTCTCCCAAGTCATTTTTCGTGTGTTGTTCTAAAAGAGAAATATATAATACTAATAGATGTTTTCTAAACTTACTTGATCCCAGAAACTTTTTTTCTAAGGAGTATCTAGTGGATTGTTATTTCACAGAACAACTTTAGGAAACAAATATTGTGGGGTAGGGGGCTTTTTACGTTTTGTTTACCATGTACTCCCAATACATAGAAAGGATCTGAGACATAGTAGGTGCTCATACAGATTTGTTGAATGAATCAATCACTGATTTGATACTGCTATTCCAGCCCCATGTCAGGGGGTAGACTACATAACTATTCAAGATCTCTTCTAAAGTACTTTAGTACTTCAGAACCATTGGGTGAGATTTCCATAGGGCAGCAAAAATAGAGTATCAAGGGTCTCATGGAAAGCAGTTGATATACAATTTCAGTGAAATTCCAAATCCAACCTAGCTCACAGTTAAATTACACATCTTCAGTCTTTCCATACTTCTCTTTCTGTCTCTGTCTCACCTCACTCCTGTCCTTTCCTCATCCTCCCACCCCGTCATACACCTGCTTCTTAACAAGAAACAGATCCATAAATTTAGGACTGAGACTGGTTTCTGGAACTTAAATACTAAGGCGGTTAGAGATACCAGACAACTGATGTGGCACACTGGACCACTAGATGCCACTGTGCTCCTCAGAAACACACCTGGAACGCCTCTCCACCTGCAGCTGCCAAGATCAAACCCCACAGGCAGAACACAGCATGGGGGTCAAGCCCTCTGCCAGAGCTGCAAGCCTCAGACATGGAATGAACAGAGCACAGGGTGGTTTGTGCTGCGGCAGAGGAGAACATACACGTCTGTAACGTTTTGGGTTGTTTGAACTTTCCTTTCTCCTTTTGTCCCCATGCAGTGCTTTTGTGCATACCTTGTGTCAGGAGGAACTATTTTGAGGCTTGAATAGAGAGACAGAGTGATAGATACAGCACAAAGGCAGATTCACCTGCCTAAGCCCCTCTGGAGACTGGGATGCAGAGGAGGAAGGAGGAGGTATGGAAGCACAGCCTTGAAAATATTGTACTTCTGGTGCTGACGGTTCCATTCCCCTGAGGCCTGTTGGAGCTCATCACAGTTACTGTAAGCAGTCATTCTAGGCACTGATTGCAGTACCTACTTCTGCTGAAGGGCCAGCCTTTTTTTAAGTCACAGTATGGTTATGGATTTAGGGCTTCGTAAGAAGGTTAGGAGTAAGGACGCTCAAAGGACCCCACTGTTGGAGGATACTCCATTAATACATATACACCTACATTTATAAGTGTGTGCTGGCCATTCACCCTCCAGTTCAGTACCAGGTTTCATGGTGTCCTGAAGTCTTCAGCTTAATTATTATAATCAGTCATCATTCATTGAGTGCTTACTATATACTAAGAATTGCACATATGCTATTTTACATAATCCTCGCAACAATCCAATGACATAGGTACTAGTTATTTTACAGAAAAGAAAGCCAAGATCAAAAGTTAAATGATTTGTTCAAGCTTACTCTGTAGGGGCAAGGGGAGATTTAAACATAGGTCTGACTTAAAGGCCCAGTCCTGTACCACTGTGCTATTCTTCCTTCATTGTTAGGCTCCACATACCTTACCCTCTAAAGACCCTCAACACCTCCACGCCTGTAAAGCAAAAGCTGTCTGCCTTTGTCAAGGGTCAGGGGACACTGCTAGGAAACCAGCTCTCTCAGAACAGATGGCCCAGATGGTGAGAATAATTTCTCTCAGGGTGATTGGGAGGGATACAGGCAAGGGAGAGGAGCATCTGCAACCAGGAGGGAACCAGGACATTATCTCTTCCTGTGGCCCGAGGCCCACCCTAATATGCTGAGAGAGGTTTGTCCTGTTCAATTCCATGAGCTACTGTTCATCAGTGAGAGGTCTAGGATTTGGCCCTTGACTTGACCAGACATGAGCATTAAAGGCTGTGATTGAGTTCTGGCCTTGCCAAATGCATAGCCACCATCTGTTCACTAAATAAGTCCTTCCAGAAGCTTCCAGCCTCCCCTCTTCCCCCAACACACATGGCACACACACCAACACTTGCATCTCCTTTGTACATAAGGGCTAAGTGACCCTCATTTTCCTGACCTTGCTACTATTAGCTCTATCTAAGCATTTCCCAAAAGTGATAAGCTACGGAATCTGACTCCCTGGGACCAGAAGATAGATTCCCGTTTGTATGGGTTCCAAGTCTGAAGTGGAGGGGAGTCCTGGCTTAATTCTCTCTCTAATGTGTGGTGGTAGTCAGGCTGCACCCCCTCCTTATCTAATCTTGCTCCTAAACCACTTGTAGGGGATCTCCTTCTTCCTGGCCAAACCTTGACCCATACAACAGTGGCTAGAAAAGCAGAGGAAGCATAACCTACTGATCACATGCAGCAGCTTTGAAACCTGGCTTGGATTTGTCTTGACTTGATACTGATCAGTTGTTTGAGCCTGGACAAACTAATCTTTCCAAATTTAAATTTCCTTTTTTTTTTTTTTGAGATGGAATCTTATTCTGTCACCCAGGCTGAAGTGCAGTGGCGCAATCTGAGTTCACTGCAATCTCCGCCTCCTGGGTTCAAGCAATTCTCCTGCCTCAGTCTCCCATGTAGCTGGGATTACAGGCACATGCCACCATGCCAGTTAATTTTTGTATTTTTAGTAGAGATGGGGTTTCACTACGTTGGCCAGGCTTGTCTTGAGCTCCTGACCTCAGGTGATCCACCCTCCTTGCTGGGGTTACAGGCATGAGCCACTGTGCCCAGCCTCAGGCTTCAATTTCCTATTCTGCAAAATGGAGTTAATACTCCATTCTGTTTTAAAGAATTCTATGAGCCACTACATGAGATAATGTATATACCGAGCAGTCCTCGGTACATTAGTTGTGTCATTGGAGCTAAGATGGACAAATTACCATAATTGAAAGAGCAAAACGAAGTGAGGAGTTCAAACACATGAATAAAAATGGATACAGTTTGGACTAAAGCAGAAAGCACACTTAAGCACTGAAGGAAGAAAAATCTCCATTTTTCTAATATAGTGCTATCAGTGGAGAAGTGTCTGAGAATTGATGGACCCCATAAATATCTCAAATGGCCATCCAGTGCTTCAAATAATTCTGGTCTTCAAGTTGCTCCAGCTCAGCATATGAAGATAACTCATATACACGTTAGGCACTATAAGGGGATGAGGAAAGCAGTAAACAGAGATTTAATATTTGGTGTGACCACAAGAAAAAGTGTTCTCAAAACAGAAAAAAACGTTCTTTTCTGGCAACATGACATTAGAAAGAAAGAAACCCTTCAGTCTCAGCTATGGCCACTTACCTGGCATGGTAGCTTTGGTGCCAAGGAGGGCCAATCATGCCCTGAGATATCTGCATCATGCTGGCATCAGGTTGGTTCTCCCCAAACTTAGTTGTGTGCCACGAGTGAGGTCGGCCTGCAGGCTCACTGCGCCTGGGGAGACACAGGAGGGACCCCCGCAACGTTAACCAAATTCTCAGCTGAGTCTGCTCACCGATGTGACTTGTGGATTTGCAAGCAGAGACTGCTGTATCTTCAGAGATTGAAAAGCAACCAAGTCAATACTGAGAAGAAGATTTTACTGCTTATTTCTCTGACTAATCATTGTCATTTTCTGCTTAACCTTTTTAAAATTTTACTTATTTTGACATAATTTCAGACTTGCATTAAAATGTTGCGAAATTAGTAAAAAGAATTCTCACATAACCTTCACCTAGGCTTCCTACATGTTAACATTTTATTGTAAAGCACATGGTCTTTTTATGCTTTATTAATGTAAAGCCTTGGTCTTTCTTGGTCTCTAGCCGTATATAAAAATGGGAGTCCTCAATTCCTTTCCATTTCCCAAGGGGCTTTGGATATATGGCAAAACATTTTCTGGAGATTCTGAGGTCCTCTGTCATATCCGGTTGCTGGATAAATGATACAATTAATATCTTGGTAAGAATTGCACAGGCATTAGCAGCAACCTCAGTGTGAACACTGCTCTAAGCTACATGGTCTAGAGAACAAAATGCTCTCTAAAATTTCCCATTTTGCAAGTCAATGACTTCAACTTTCAAGCATCCTGCCCTTACCACACAAGAATTGACAAAGACAAAGGGAAAATGTGGGTGTCCTTCAGACTGCAACAAACACTGAGGAATGAATTGCATAAGGAGGCTTACACTACTATAAAAGGTCAGAGTCAGGAAAGAGTTGCTGTGCTTCATTTTTGGCAAAAAAAATTCAGGTACTCTATCAGGCATTTCATGCTGAAAATTCTTTTTTTTTTTTTTTTTTTTTGAGCATCTCACAGATCCATTTATTTATGCCACAAAGTAAACGGTACTCATACAAGTGTACAGTGATGTTCCACGCGCCCCATCTAACACGACTTGCTCAAATTTACAGGCAGACTGACGTTTTCTTTCACAGGTACTCCAAGTAAGCTGGTTAATGATGAGCACGAGCAGACGCTGCAGCTTTTGCAGCCTTATTTCTTTTATCGGCGGCATGGAGTTTATAAACAATGAAGCCCATCAGCCCCATTCCTACCCAAATCTCCTGGTAAACTAGAGTATAGTAGGGTTTCAAGGGGAGGCACATATTTTTAATAACATTTTGAAGCATCTTGGTGCAGGAAAGACAGCTCAGTCATGCTGAAAATTCTTGAATTGTAAGGCTGTAGGGGGATTTTTCTACAGTTTAGAAACCCTTTTATGGGATCCAGGAATCCATTTGGATATGGTGAACATAACAGCTGTAAGTTATTCCAACTCACTGTACTTGGCCTTGTAGCTAAAAATGTACCTATACTTTTTCTGTGAAAAAATAGTTTTTGTAATATAAATGAAAAATAATTCCCCTGAAACCAGTAAAATTTAATGTATTAGGACATCAGAATAATACTAGACCAGGTGTCAGGAGACCTGGGCTCTTGCCCTGACTTTGTTATTAACTTGCTGTCTGACCTTATGTAAGTTCCTTCCCCTTCCTAAGCCTTTGCTCATCTAGAAAGTGAGAAGATTAATCAGAGGCTGGATTAACCTCATCTTAATCTAAAATAACTTTCAAAATATAGCAGGCACTGAAGAGCTTCCCAAAACAGATGACTACACACACACACACACACACACACACACACACACACACACACACAGCCCTTCCTAAAGAGAGAATAGGGTGATAGGAAAATGTTCTTGTGTGTTTCAAGGGAAACAAATACACAATTTTTTTTTTCCCACATTCAGTCAAAGATGTATTGAATTGAAGGAGCCTACAGTCAGGTGCACTAATGATTGAGTTGCCAAATAGGCCAGGAAAAGTGAGAAAAATTCAACTCTATGTCAAGAGCGGGAGAGAAGCTAGAATGTAGCTAAAGGTATCAGCTCTAAGATAGACAAACCTGGGTTCTAATCCAGTTTTAAACTGAATATCACAAGTTTTAGCTTTTAGATCATAGGTAAATTTCTTAGTCACCCTGAGTTTCCTCATCTGTAAAATGCAGATTACAATACAACTTATTCACAGGGGTTTTGTGAGATTAAAAATGAGATAACACACCTGGCCCACAGTAAGAGCTCAATAAATGTTAAGTCTTATTATCATCCTTCATTATTAATAAATTGACGAAGAGTAGAGAGAGTAAGGAGACAAGCCTTCAGAGATCTCTAAAAGGAAGGATGGTAAATGATGAGGGAGACAGGAATGGGCAGGAACTACTGGTGCTGATGAGGCACCCAGCCCTGAGAACCCCAGTGAGGTACTGAGTCGATAATTATGGCAGAGCCTGGCCTGAGATTTACCATGGTCACAGCCTGTTGAACCCTGGCCAGGGTAGCGAGGAAGGGGGCCATCAGGGCAGTGGCTGTGACCTGAAATCACAGGGGTAAATACAGGCCAAAAAGAAATGGACCTTGCCCACATGGAAACTATAAAAGAACGAAAGGGAGCAGTCACACAGTTTCGACTAAGGAGATGAAGTAGATGCAAAATCAAGATATCAACAGCAGAAGCCAGTATACAACAATTTGTTTGGGTCCTTGTCCCCATATGCATTAGCTTGTTCTCACACTGCTAATAAATACATACCTGAGAGTGGGCAATTTATAAAAGAAAAAGGTTTAATGAACTTACAGTTCCACATGGCTGGGGAAGCCTCACAATCATGGCAGAAGGCAAGGAGCAGCAAGTCATGTCTTACATGGATGGCAACACGTAGAGAGAGAGTGAGCTTTTGCAGGGGAACTCCTCTTTTTAAAACCTAGATCTCATGAGACTTATTCACTATCATGAGAACAGCATGGGAAAGGCTTGCCCCCATGATTCAATTACCTTCCACCGGGTCCTTCCTACAACATGTGGGAATTCAAGATGAAATCTGGGTGGGGACACAGTCAAACCGTATCACTATACCTCTCTAATCCTTATTAATCAGTCCCATGTAACCACTAAACCTTGAAGTTCAGCACTACTTTAAAGTGTTTTTATTTTATTTATTTATTTATTTATTTTGAGATGGAGTCTTGTTCCATTGCCCAGGCTAAAGTGTAGTGGCAAGATCTTGGCTCACTGTAACCTCTGCCTCCTGGGTTCCAGTGATTCTCCTACCTCAACCTCTTGAGTAGGAGGCTGGGACTACAGGCACATGCCACCATGACCAGCTAGTTTTTTTTGGTATTTTTTTGGTAGAGACAGGGTTTCACCATGCCAGCCAGGCTGGTCTCGAACTCCTACCCTCAAGTGATCCACCTGCCTTGGCCTTCTAAAGTTGAATCAACCTTTTTCTCAGCGCAGGTAAGCAGGGATCCTGAGAGTTAATGGCTCAGCATCTTAGTAGTTGAGCATTCTTGCTGCTAGTCTTTCTCTAATTTTGGACACTAAAGTCCCCAGAAACTAGGCTGCTGCATCTTCAACAAGTTCCTTGAAGGTAGGTTGACTCACTGACTTGGATTCCTCATTTATCATCTTGTTCCATTCAGTCATTAGAAATCCTCCCTAGTGCTCTAAACCCTTCAGGGGCTGGCCCAAATCACACAGTCACTAAGTCTGGGAGTAAGGGTTTAAACCCAGTTAAATATGACTTCAGGTACTCAACAAATGCCACTGCTTAATCATACAGCAAAAGCCCAGTCTCGATAAAAAAATAAAGTCTCTTTTGCATGAGATGCCAAGAGGGATTTCATGTATATATGATTTTAGACCCCAATGGGCCCAAAATACATTAGGAGAAAGAAGAGAAGAACAAACTGTCATCTTCCTACTGCTCATTCCCATTACCTAGTGAAGGGAGTTGGCAGAATCCCTCACAGTAGTAGAAATTAGACCTGGGACTAGGTGTTGGCCTTGAGAAGCCAATGGACACCAATGAACTGTGACCTCAGACTAGCACCATGTGACACTAAGAGTGGCTCTTCAGTGGCTTCATCACCCAATGGTATCTGTCCATGCCTCGCTAAAAACATTGATGCCGAGAAGCTTTTCCCACTTAAGAGAAATAGAAAGTGATAAATTCCACAGGCTCCACAGAAAAAAAGGATGCTTTTTCCTATCAAGAAGATGAGGTGTGAGAAAATGTTCACTGATAACTTCAAGGGTTCCAGAGAAGCCCTCTAGTTTGCTTGTGCCTATAAGCCAAGCTACTTGGGAGGCTGAGGCAGGAAGCTCAATTTTTTTTTTAATTTATTAGCTGGGTGTGGTGGCATCCACCTGTAGTCCCTGTTACTCAGAGGCTGAAGCAGGAGAATCACTTGAACCCAGTGATTTGAGGCTGTAGTGAGCAATGACTGTGCACCACTGCACTCCAGCCTCCAGAGAGATGGTCTCTTTTTTTCTATTCTTTTTTTTTGTTTTGTTTTTTGTTTTTTTGAGACGGAGTTTCGCTCTTGTTACCCAGGCTGGAGTACAATGGCGCGATCTCGGCTCACCGCAACCTCCGCCTCCTGGGTTCAGGCAATTCTCCTGCCTCAACCTCCTGAGTAGCTGGGGTTACAGGCACGCGCCACCATGCCCAGCTGATTTTTTGTAGTTTTAGTAGAGACGGGGTTTCACCGTGTTGACCAGGATGGTCTCGATCTTTTGACCTTGTGATCCACCCGCCTCGGCCTCCCAAAGTGCTGGGACTACAGGCGTGAGCCACCGCGCCCGGCTTCTTTTTTTCTATTCTTCTTATTATTATTTTAGATGCAGGGGATGGAAGAGGAGAGAGGGAAGAGAAAATGAGAAGGATGCTGATGGCTTACTCTGGGGCATGCATGAATGCCTGTGGGGCTTCCCGTGGAGAGGTATAGCAGGGAGAGGGAGTAGAGGGCTGAGGACTGAGCTGCATATAGGAATTTACAAGTCACAAAACACAGGGCCTTTGAGCTACCTGAGGAGAATGAATAGGGAGACAAAGGAAAGATGAGCTTCTGAGAACGATCAAAATTTAAGGGAGAGGGAGCCTGGGAAAA